AATAACGCGTATTTAAATTAAAAAAAAAAACAAATTTCTCTTTATTATATTTATTATTTTTTATTTATCAATATTATACAAAATTATAATCTGACACACTAGCATAAATTAATTGTTAATTTCTAAAACTCAACGATAAAAATAATTTTGTAACTCTAGAATATTAATGTTATAAATACGATAAACTAGTATAAAGAATATAGACATATAAAGATAGTGAGAAAAGCGCAGCACAAAGGCTGATGAACACTTCGAGCAGGTTTGGTGATCAGCTGTTTCAAGATGACAGCTGATCCGGTACGCGGTGCGTAGTGCAACGCGACGGAATGATTAGGAGATATATCGTGCAGTGATAAGGAGAGATAACAGCTCGAAAATGGCCACAAGAAACTTAACCGAACCTTTCGTTTTGATGCGAAACAATGCCCTACAGAGTAGACACATTTACGCCGAACAGGTGCGTGTACTTAACCTATTCCAATATAAAATTGCTTTTACCTTTATTCTATAATACATAACGTTTTAAATTAAATTTTTCAGAATCTTACTGATAGCGTGGCACTGGTGGAATCGGATTCTGGTGCATCCGACAATGTCGAACTGAAGGGTGTGGATAGTGATGCACCGCCCACCTGGGCAGATGCCTTGGAAGAAACACAATACATCCTGAGCAGATTACGGGTGAAGATAGATAGCCTGGTCGAGCTGCACTCTAAGCAGCTCACTAGGCCTACTCTGGATGATTCATCTCAGGTTTGCAAATTCCTCATGCTGTAATTCGATTTCTTAAACTATCAAGATTCAAATAAACTATTCTATCACTTGTCCTCTTGCAAAAGAAGAATGCATCGACTAAGTGAAATACTTAGAATTGATAATACTAGTAACTATTAGGATTTGAAATATATTTTATATTACTGTGTAGGAGGAAAGACAAATGGAACAACTGACACGAGAGATTGGACGTGCATTCTCCAATGGTTATAGACAAGTACAAACAATTAAGTCAGCTGGCAGGCATGAAACTAAGCCTGCGGAACGTCGGCTAGCTAACAGTGCGGTAATGGCACTTTCAACTGCTTTACAAGAGTTAGGTCTTCGATATAGAGCTGCACAGAATCATTATCTGACACGTATGTTCTTTATAATTTAATAAAAATAATTAATTGTTAATATATCCAGAAACTGCATTTTGCGGATTATTTCCGTTCAGATCCATTATTAAAATGTCAACATTTTGTAAACATTGCAGTTCACTTCATCAGGGGGAAGAGTACCCTGATATTGAACGGCTCCTCTAAAGAATTGCTTTTTATATGTTGTTTAGAGTTAGGAGGTATAGAAGGGGGAAAAAGTTTAATTTTCGATGACCGATCTTCCGTATTCTACTTATGCTCTACCATTATCTCTATTTAAATTATCAGGATGTTTTTGTATCTCTATAACTTGTCTATATTTTCTTAGAAAATATGATGTAGTAATGGTTATTGTAGTCATTTAGTTAAACAATATATTTGGTGTCTTATCTTAATGTCCTGTTTTGATAATGACTGTGATATGTTTTAATTTAACGTCATGTTGATGTTCTTTTATCTAAAGATCATTCTTCTGGTCTTTCCAATGTGTACTTGTCCGCAGAAGCAAAGTATTTTATTTACTTCCACTAAGAAATAAATAGGGGTCTTTGGTGTTTAAGGTTTTTTTAGTCCTATTTTTTTTGGAGGAAGGGAGAGGTTTAAAGACGATTCGGGTATTGTGCTTATTCAATAGTCTGTTATTTCTTTAATTTATGAGAGGATGGAAGAAAATTCTTTTATCTGAGAATTCGTTATCTTTCTTGTATATAAAAGTATACATTAAAGTCAATCTATGGATAAAAGAACATCACGTAACGTCAGATTAAAACATGTCACACGGATTATTAGAACACAACATTAAGATAGGAAACCAAATATTAATTTAAGTAAATGACAATAGCAATTATTAAATCATATTTCCTAAAAAAAAAGACAAAAAGGCTGTAGAGATACAAAAACATCCCGATTATCGAAGATTGATTGTCCCCCTTCTCTGCCTATTTCACAAAGAAAATTCTTCGCGGGAACAGCTAAAAATCTTCGCAGTCCTCACCCTAATGAAGTCAACTGTAATGTTCATATTGTTATTTTAATAATGGATCTGAGATTCAGATCCATTGTTATTTCCGTAGATAATCCGCGAAATGAACAGCTTCTGTACAGAAAATACCCATAAAAGCCTCAAAAGCAACTATTGATATTTTTAATAAACTAATATTATTTATGTACCAATAAATCTTTGCAGAGGTGAAATCAAGAGAAGAGAGAAATAACCAGTTCTTCGCAGAAGATCAATCTCTTTTAAATAATATAGCAACCGATTCTTGGGTGACAGAACTAAACGAGGCAGCTGGTGATTATTGGCCAAAAAATGAACAAAGACAGGACTCGGTTTTACTGCAGTTGGAAGAGCCGGAAGGTAGGATGAAATTAGCAATGGAAAGGGAGGAACAGATTGGAAGTATAGTTCAAAGCATAGCAGACTTAAAACATATTTTTAAGGTAAATTATATGCATATATATAAATTATTATAAATAAATACTTATGATATATAATTACAAGTAAAACTCTTCGATTTGGTAAATTCAAATTGTTTTGATATTTATTTCAATATTAGTGCATAATGTAACATGAATAGCACGATAAAATCTTGAACAAAAATCTGAATTTTTGTGTATAGGATCTTGCAGTAATGGTGCAGGATCAGGGTACTATTTTAGATCGAATCGATTACAACATAGAGCAAACGCAAGTACAAGTACAGGAGGGCTATAAACAATTGAAGAAAGCTGACTCGTATCAGAAGGCTAATAAAAAATTGTATTGTATCGTGATTCTCGCGGCTGCTATTATATTACTTAGCTTCTTATTCGTCATATTTAAGACATAGAATCAATTATAATTAGAATAACTAACGTGAAAATATACTTGTTATTTACTTGGTATTTATCGTGTTCTATAAAATGAAACGTCTTTATAGAACTGTACATAATAATGGAAAGAGCTATTTTTTAAAATAGTCCGTGTAATTTTCCTTAAGTGTTATTGTCAGAAAAGAACAATTATATTCGTAAAATTATGACGAAATGTTTGTTCGGTCTATTTGTTCATGGATTATATACAATATGAAATAATAACTATGAATGTGGCATTAATCTTTTTAATCAATGTTAATCTTGATCTGTATAAATTAGTTTTAAAAATAATTCCTCATGATATCATAATCCTCATAATATCTGCAATGTTAAATGGTTTCGCTGTATTTTAATTCTTATAGTATATACTAAGAGTGACCGCAAAAATAACAGATTTACAATAGAATAATTTATTTATATATATATATATTTCACATTAATTGTATATTTTTTATAGCGATAAATTATGTTTTTTTATTTATGTTTAATATTGTAACGATAAAAATGAAAAAAATGCAGTTTGACTTTTTATATCTGTATTGTAACCTGTTCTGTACATCCAATTGTTAAATGATCATTCCATAATAAAACAATGACTGAAGTTAAGTTTTGTGAATTATACATATTTTCTTGTGTATACATATATATACACAGCGTGATCTATATAAGATATTACAAATTATTTTTTAAAAAGCAAAAAAGATAAGATTCTGTTTATACTTCAAAATTAACTAGGAGCTTTTTGTGACAAATAAGATTATTCGCTGTTATACCTTCGAAAGGCGCAAGTGTGATGATTTCTTCCATTTTCGATAAAATCATAAATTTATAACTTTTTATATAAATCGGTTCTCATTCTGCATGTAAAAATACGTATCTACCGAATCTAATGTGCTCAAGATTTATGTCTCCTAAGTCTCTTCTACTTCATTGCATCTTCTTGAACATTGCATTTCCTATCACAGATTGCGTATTAAGTATTCTTGTATCCATACGTATCCCTGTCATTATAGCTAATATCTATATATGAACTTTCATTTTAATAAAACTTCTAAAAACCATGTTATTATATTATGAACTATAAACGATACGTTTTAATGTTTGTTTTACCTCCTATAGCTACAGTAACTCGCTTACTGCTAATATCAAATTATAACATTATATTAAATACATTTTAGGCTTACCGTTACAGCATGTATTATAACATATAAGTTTAGATACTGCACAAACTTGTTCAATACAACAAAAGAATATTTCTCGCATTTTCATGATACGTTATCAAAGAATAATATAAAAACCTATGTTTAAAATATAATAAAATTATGAAAAGTAATATTTCTCTTTTTTAAGAGGAAAAGTTACATTTCTGTTTTTTAAATCCAGCTTTAAATTGAATAAACTAATTAACTTAATTTTAATATGTGAATCTTAATTAATGTATGATTGTATAGAATTAGATATCATAAATAAAATTATGTAAAATATAAATAAAGTTTGTAAATTAAGTAAAAACTATTAAGTAATAAAAGAAGATGCAAAAAGTAAATTTTGTGGAAACATTTTGTACTAAAAAGGTAGTATTACGTACATACAAATTATACCTAATAACAGAGTGTTACTAGCCTAGTTTACTAAAAATAATCACAGCTTATATAATAAGAGATATAAAGGCATATTACACGGCGGATTAAAGATGTTATGTAAAATTTAAGATGTGATAATCGTCTTACTTCGTGATATCCTGGGAAAAAATGTTTTATATAATTTTATATACTTGTATATAAAGTAACATATTTTATATATAATTATATATATTGATATATAAAATTATATAATTACATATAAAAGATTTTTTCCCGGGATGTGTTTTCATTTGCGAATTGTCAGGAAATAAAAATACATAATGTAAAAATGCTTGTGCGTTTGGATAAGCACAATTGTCCGGCCATTTTAAAAACTTGTAAATGTTCTAAAACATAAAGATAGATTCTATCATACAGATACAAATTATTAAAAGCATTTCTATATATACATAAATGTGCATAAAAAAGCATTTAACTTAATCATAAAAAAGCAAACACAGATTAATCCTAAGTACATACATAGTATCAGAATTTATATCAAGAGTTTCGTTGTAATATTCGTTATTCTTTACGAAACTCGTTACAATACAGACTCCAACAGTTATATATTAACTGTATATACACTTTACGAGATGTAGAATCTAATAAGGGTGTATTTGAGGAGAGATCTGTAATGTATAGTCATGAAAAATTTGTCAATAATATAATATTGCACCTAAAAACAAATTGTTAAATTTAAACAATTGTTAAATTTAGATGCAATTATTATTGATATTATCTCATATATAATTTCCTTATCAAATGGAATGTTAATAAGCGCGAACAGATCTAAAATAGATCAAAAGTGGCATTTAAACTCATCTTTTTCCACACGTTGTAAGTCACTCGCTGAATAAATGTTGTAACTATCATCGCACTTTAATTTTCGCTAGAGATGCGTTCCACTTAACTTTCGCAACGCTCACGTGCATCATTTCATCCCCAACAATTGTTAACATGAATGAAATGATGCTCGCAAGCGTTGCGTTAAGCAAAACGTACTCTAAGAGGTATCTCGACGAAATAATTAAATAGTTATGTACATTTAAAAATCGGTCGTTTCCTCGCGAAGGGTATAATATGGAAAGAATATAAAAATAATTTTAATACAATAGTATATACAAACATTTACCCAGCAATCTCTTGATATAAATGTTAAGAACTAAGCGATAGTCACCCATACGAATTGAGCAGAAGTCACATGATATTAATGCATCTATATATAAAATAATTTTGCTAAGATACGATTGAGTCGAGCGAGTGGTTGTTAAATCTCTCAGGTGTTTGTGGTGCATAAAATATGCGCCACAATTCCAAGCGCACCGCCCAAAACGAAGCGAACAAAGTTGTTACCAACTAGAGGTCCTAATGCATAAAGTCCTTTTATCGGCGCGTTAATCACCTCGTACGTGAAATCATCGATTTCAATTGGATTCGATTTGCTATCAATCGGCTTATCTGCGAATTTACCTAATTCCATACCGCCACCTTCTAAGTAAGACAAGTCTGGTTTGTATCCTGAAAAAAATTACTGAATACAGTAATATCGACAAATTTACAAACTGAATTTACGAACTCAATACTAAAGCCAATATCTGTCATATTCAATCTACAAGTTTTATTAATTTGAGTTATTATTAAGAAGTACATATGATGTTTACCGATAAGAATAGCTGCAATAGATACTGGAAACGTGTGCAGTTGACCGTTTGGAGCAGAAAGAGTGACTGTCCTCCTTATGTTTCCTTTCTCGCAATTTTCAGAAAGACTGACGAGTGTATATCCTGGCAAAGACTTGTATAAAGGATAATTTGTACCTCCGTCAGCCATCATCTCGTACACCTTATGATACTCCGGATATATGGAATCCGGTAGCCATTGCAGTCGATCGTAACTGGTAGTTATTCTCTCGGCGGTCTGTTTGCCCCACTCGTTTAACGAGTTGCGGAATGCGTGTAACACAGGTATGCCTCGAAAGCGTGCGGCCATAATCGCGTCGGCTGCGCTCAGACCAGCTCCGATTACTAACACGGGTGGGATCTGTTCATCGGTTGAATCTTTGCCTACGGTTAACAATTTCTCAAATGAGAACAAATCATGAACAAATTATGTAATAAACAAATGAAAAAGGCAAGTTTTTCCAGAAGCTGCCAAATTAGGTGCAATCATTACTTTATATAATTTTCCCTTTACGTACCGTACTCGCTAACCAAACATCCTAATCGAGTCTCGAGATCATTAAGATCGTGTGTCACCCATTGGCGATTCGTGTTCTCTCCTGGGATGCCCAAATGATTGGATAAATCGGTCGTGCCAGTTGCAAGGACCGCCCTTTTACACCGATATCGAAATCGTTTTCCATTTTTATTCTCGTACCCGTCTACAATCCAATTGTATCCTCCTTTGCTCTTAGGCGAGTCCGAATTCGGTCTTACTGAAGTAACTGTGGTCCCACTACAATAGATTATTTCATCAAAGTCCGCGTTAATGTCGATAACAGTTTTGTGTCAAATATTTCAAATATATACCATCGAAAGTATTGTGTCAAGCCTTTTCTGTGCACGTAGTCCTTGTAATACGCTGCCACGGTACCCATAGAAACTCGACTAGATGCCTTACAAACATTCAGTTTTTCTAGCCGCGCATATACGTCACTTTCTGCGGCTAAAACCGATTTTTGTAACTGTTCAGCTTCGACGAGTTTCTCCCACTGCCTCAGATCCAAATCGGGAAGTGACATCCATCGACTCAGACTGATAGTCAGTACATTGGGGTCCATAGACTAGAGATAATCATATTAAAAAAACGTTAAACTAAACAATAAAGATAAGGAAAGAGCTTTTCATATATAAGTATTTTTCAATATATAAGTATGTTGCGTTAAAAATTAAGTAATACTTATAATTAATAAGTAATCCTTATCAATTCCCAACATAAAATTTTTTTAATTGTTCAATCATTGAAATATTAGCTGTTTTAATTTATTAAGACTTTTACTTTCATCATTTTTTATCTATCGTTTTATACTTCATGGAAAAGAATCCATATTTTTAGGATTACAAAAAAGTAAGAAAATATCATTGATCATGTACCTGCCAAGCACCGCCTGGTTGGCCCTTGCCAAGAACAACATGGTCCACGATCCTGTGCTCGAGGTGTTCATTAGCGGAAACCCAATCAAGCAGCGAGGGCACGTCGAGCCCAGCATCGACACACGGATGCTGCAGCTGATCCATGAGAAGAGCCAGTGGTCGACCACCGCCTCTACCCTCGATGCCGGAGGACAGGCATTCGAGTTTGCAGCGTGTGCTGTATGCTAGCCCGCCTCCTTGCGTCCTGCTGACACCAGACTTGGAGCACTGACGACGATTGTTAATAGTTACATCAGTGTTCACATCGTCCGGCGTATCACCGCATTCCTCGTTGCTAGTAGTGCAAAACCGCAGTCGCGCTGTCAGCATATCATCGCCAGGATGAGGTTCGCCGGTATAGTAAGGCCAATTTCCGGCGAGCATATATGATAAACATATCCCGCTGGGCCCATTTCCTACGGACCAGAAATTGTAGAATGTGTAGAATCTTTACTATTTTGACAAACGATCTGAATTATGACTATATTTTATTTAATATGCTCTTACGATAAAAATTTTAGCTTTGTAGAAAATTAATACTAACATTGCTGAACATGACGAGATAAGAAGTTCATTGGTCTTTGCGTGATAAGTGTTAAATAACCATATATAAGCATATTTAAAAAACTTGATCAGATTACATACTGGAGAATTGAAAGTTCAGTTTAAAAATAAAAGTAAAATTTTCTCATCTCCATAACAATTTTCAATAACAAACTGAATTTAATATAAGATATGTTATTATTATTAAATTTTCTCAAGACATCTTATATACTTACCTATGATGACAACATCTTTATAAATGACATCGTTATCGTCGACCTCAAACATGTTCTGCATTTTTTCTTTTTGTCTATCCGATATCTGTGCAAACGCAATTTTCCTGTTCGTTTGACTGCAAAGAAAACGATTATTTTATTGTAAAAATGTTATGTAACATCTTATGTATACGTCAATACACGTAAAATTATGAAAGAGTAAAAATAGCGCATCTGTTATTGTCTTCATTTTTCTGAAATAATCTTTATTTGCAGTGATCATTTTAGCATTAGTCACGTTTGTAACCAGTGAGATTATTACACAAGTACACTTATCATTACGCGATGACAACCAATTTTTTCCGACGAGTAGATAATCTCAGAATTTTCCGTATTTCAAAATATTAAGGAACAAATCTCTACAGATTATATGGATAATACATTTTTCTATTTTTAATATAATTGAATGTACTAAATATTTATTACATATATATTGCATTCCACAATTATGTGAGTATGAAAAAGATAAGATAAGTACGTACGCTATAAGTTTTTTACGCATTAGTTAATTACAAGGTATGTAAAAAGTCGATAAGATAAACAAAACGTACTTCTTTTTGGATGACTTTGCGACTTATAAATGTGAAGTGTTACAAATGTTATTTCTTCTATAATCAATGTGAACATTCTTGTGACTATTCATAAATTGTGCTGAATGTAAAGTAAATGTAGTTAGTGGAAATGACCTAATTATTGAATAAATAGAAAAAAATGTTTAATATTAGACTTTTAATGACATGTGTGATTTTATATAAATTCGTTGTGTATAAAAATTTAATAAGACATTTATTTAGTCATATATATCATTAAAAGTTTAATATTTAAAATTTTTGTCATTGCGTGCAATAATTAGATAATGTCCAATAACTGGTATGTTTACCTTTCGCTTGCATTTTTTGTCATTAACATAACATCTTGAAAATAAACGATAATCATGTCGTTAGAAAGTAAAAGTCATGACCTTCGTTGTAATTAGCGGTCTTCATTGGCATCATGTTTCCTACTCTCTAACACTTAACCGGTTCACCCGGTATAATTACCATGACATGAATCAGCAAACCTTCCTGCCGATCGGTCGTTAAAAATGGCCTGGTTGCTCAAATGAGCCTAACGACATCTTAAAAATAGAGATATTTATAAAAAGACGTAAAAAATGAAGGAGAACAAATAAAAAGCTTAAACTGGAAATCGTAAAAATTCGCACACAAATAAGCATTAGAACTCGCCTTGACCAAATATGGCTCTTTTCATTCTTTTAAATTGAATAAATAAAAAGTTATTAGAAATAATATTATAAATACAATATATAATAATAACTGCAGAAATAATATTATAATAGAGATATATAGAAAATATAGAAATATGACAAAAATTAAATTATTATTTACGTTTGAGGATGAATAGACACATGAGAGTATAGAAAGCGTCGTTAAAAAGAGTCAATGGGATGTCTAATTTATATGCATGATCAAGAGAGATTAACTCATGCATTTCCCTCATTATGTACCTGTCGTTTCTACTCGAGATCACCTATTCCGTAAATAACCGGAGAGAACGTCTCGATAATTTGTAGCGCGCGCACTCATGGTCCATTTTCATTAATACTTAACAGTTAAGAATAGCAACGTTACTCGAGAACGAAGATCGACGATGGAAACAAGAATTGACAATGGTCCAACCATTAAAACAATTTTACCTCATCGCGAGATTAACAACAAAGTGTTGGTATTTGTGATTATAATTACGTAAAGTAAAATAATTATGGTTCGGAGTTATTATATATTTTTTTATACACAATCATATAGAATCATTATTATTAACATTATAATAATAATGTAAGTATAATGATTATAAAAACGGAGCTCCTAACTATAAAAAGACATTTATTTACCTTGTGACTATGCAATTATAGCCATAAATACTAAACACTTTTTCTTTCAATGTATTGGTATTGTCGGACGTATTTATTTTTATGAGAATACAGTTGGAAAATTTGTGTTAATTAGAAGATAGTGTCTCGCGTACATTTTACATGGTCCAAACAATCCAAACGATTCACTCAAATTTTTATTAATTTAACAGAAGACAAATATGTTAGAAAGTAACACAAATAGTATGTAAAAAATTAACATACAAAATATAAAACTGACACAATTTGTAAGCAGTGATGTTTTTTCATTGAATTAACATTTATAATATCTAAAATTAATGTTTCAATAAATTTAACATTTATAAGATGTTAAATTAACACATCTTATTTACCTCAAAATTTATACTTTAAAAAACATTATTTTTATGTTATTTATTACTCATAAATTGTGTTATTTTGACACTAACAAATATTAATATCAATTAAATACAAAAATATTCAAATAATACAACTACACTATTAAATTAACACTCGAATATATTAAAAATTCAACACAAAATTTTAGCAAGGACGTGAATAAATCTTTTCTAACTCAAATATAAAATATTTTTTATTGTGAAGAGAGAGAGATCTAAAATAAAAAATTGTCGAAATAAACATTTTTATGAAATATAAAGACTGTGGGGGTGCAAACGAAAGAGTGAAAACAATCACAGTTTTAAAGGTCAACGGCAAAAAATTATTATTTTTTTTTATCAGGCTTCACCAAAGAAAAAGCTACTATATTCTATTGGCATTTCTAGAGAGAACACAGAGAAATCTTATCATGAAATCTATCGAAGATAAATGGCAACGATTATTGCACATTACATCGATATCGATCGACAGAGTTGACAGTGTCCCACTGATGCATAGGATAGTTGTATAGTTGACAATGAGGCTTTATTCACGACGTGTACAAATATTCAAGCGATCGGCTTACATGCTTTTGCATGTCACCGGACAACAGCGGTTTTACTGTTCGCCGCAAGAAAGCCGAGATCGATGGAGAATAACGACAATATAATCTATTCCTGCGTGAAAATGGCAAGTTATATAGCAACGTAGAGTACGTCGAATCGATGATTTATTCTCAAAGAAAATTATTGTTATCATTACGTATAATAAAGGTTATTCAGATAATCGAAGACCATTTTCCCGCGGTATTACAACGTCATCTCCAATGTTGTGCAAGACACTTCATTTTTAATACCTAAGTACAGATACAAGTACCTTAGACAAAAATCGAGATAGATATTAGAAAAACAAAATACTTAAATAAAGATATCAGTGTATCTACATAGGTATAGATATATTTTTATTCATTAAAACTTCGAAATAAATAGGCATTTATGATTTCATATATTCACACATAATGTTTACGTAGTTGATTCATATGTATACACATAAATATTCTACGCAAGTAAGTTTACCATGTTGCATATTAAAATGAAAAAGTAACACTTATAAAGCTATTAATTTTATTCAAATAATTTAACATTTATGCATATTATGCGTTTCAAAAACATCAAACATTCAAAATCGTCAGCTGACAAATTATTTCGTCGCGGCGTTATAATTTGTTGCCCTGCGCTAACAAGTTTGATAAAAGTGTATTATATTTGAAATATAAGACACTACTAAGCGCCTGTTGAACATACATTTAATACAATAAAGTAACTAAAATCTAAATATAAGTACCGGTACATAAGAGACCTGTTCTCTTTAGTTAATTTCTCATACGGTTCATCTTTTCTCTTTTTTTCTGCAACATGGAGAGAAAAGGAAGAAAGATGAACCATCGTCAGAAATTCAGCTAAAAAGAATAGGCCTAAATAGATATTGCACAACACTGGTCACCTCGCATTTCAACCGGAACTTTATTTTTAGGATCATTATATATTTCCCTCAAATACACTGGAATTCCCGAAAGATATCTAGTTCCTATTATCATCAATTAATTTTATCGTTGTCGGAAAAGTTTTCTCTCTCATTCAATTCTATGAATAAGCGATAAAATTGTTTCAGCACGACGCAAAAGCAAGCAAAGTTCTTCCGAACCGACATATCCTTTCCGACATTTATCATTTTAATTTATTATCCGCTAGATTAAGATATATGAAATAAAACGTAGAATGGAAAAAAAATTCACTTCGCAGAGTCCATTAAGAGCGCGAAAGATGTAAGGACGTTATATATTAACGATCGCGAGTTAAATCGATAACCACCTGAATACCTCCTTTCACAAGATACGTATAAGTACAAAACGATGCTTGGTTGGGGTCAACTGGTCATGACTCGCTCGATATATATCCGGTTTACGGATATGACTATATATTTACGAAGGAATCAGATATATAAAATCTCTATTGAAATTTTAATCACGTTCTATATCCAATGTCAGATCTGCATTAAACCTTTAATCATGTATTTTACATCGTATAAGACAAAGAGAACTGAGCTATATATATAAATGTCAGCACAATTAATTACAACGCGTGATCTACATGGGATGTTGAGGCTTCAATTGCGATTGAGTTATTCGTGTCCCACACATTTCTTTTCTTTGAAAAATTAGAAGAATTAAGTAATTAATTATAACATTTATATAGTATATATTTATAGATATATATAACATTATAAATACTTTCTAAAGATATATATACCTTCTAAAGAATATATGTAAAAATCACTTAATATATTGTACATTTAAAGTCATAAAAATTAAATTGGGACACGAACGATTCATCATGTGAAATGAAAGACCGGAAAATCATCGTGTATACTAAGAGTTAAATGTAATTATAATTAACAGCATTTCATCTACATCTCAAACTTTTCAACGTACATATATTCTGTCTCTATAAAAGAAACATAAGTTGTGCAAATATCGATCGTCAAAGAAGAGTGATTATCTTAAAAAGGTGACACGCGACTTTAAACATGCGACATTATATATACGTACGATTGAAGTGTAACATGATTGTTAGCTTTTTTAATGTTTGATATGATATAATCGAGATTCTAACGCAATTCGGGCGCGTTGCCGCTGTACATCTTTACGACATCGTAACAGGTGCGTTTGTAGGCACATTTAGATATCTGCTACCATTCTAACAACGCGGGCGCTTCGCACATCTTCTATTCTTAATCGACGATTATTTGCGG